AACATTGCATCTTGTTTAGCTGGCACTATTTTTGAAAATTGCATAGACGATAGAAGTTAATGCAACCATAGATTTTGCGAGTGCTCTTCAGCTGTGGCCTCTCACTTCATAACATTAATAACGTATAAGAGAATACAAAAAAATGAATTCGTACAGAAGAATCAATGCAAACAGCAAGGCCATAGAAAATGGCCATGGAGGCTAATCAACAATGTAAGCAAGTTAAAACACTGTGGGAAGCAAAAGTGGGGAAAAGCATTTAAGGCAAAAAGTTGGGCAGGGAAATGTGTAAATCACGGAGCCGAATGTTACCACGGCAAAGTTAGGTTCAACACATGCTCCAGTTGTTTATGTAGGTCGGGTTTAAACCGCCGTATAAAGGCTGCCTCCAGGCAGCGCAAGGTACTAGTTATTCCTGTCCGAACAAGTACTCGGAAGGACGTCAACCGAGTGACCCGTATCAAGCAAGTGTTCAGTAAGAGATGAACATGGAATTCTATTTTCCTGTTTTAATAGCCACCTAGGCAAATTCTCTTTGGATTTGTGAATTAGTAAACCAGAGGACACTAGGTCAGAGACAATCAGGTGAGCACCTAAACATTATCACTACCACAAACTTATGAAAATGTGACATGCTGCTTTCCTTCACTGACCGCTATAAAGATGACATACTTTCGCAATGAAAGTACTATATATAATGCACTATTTGTGTATCCATTCTTTTGTTGACGATGGGGTAGGTGGTCCCACTCATAAAACGGGAAACAAGGACTCCCTTAATACGGGAATGGTAATAAATGGGGGTTCATGGGTAGGGTAAACAGAAATTGACTGATTGTTTTTTCCGGAAAAAGAAGTTTAAAAAATTACATTTACAGCATTGGCTTATTTAACTTGGTCACAAACTGTAACAAAGCTAACGCGCGCTTTGAAGTATAGGGAATTGGAGGCTGTAAACGGACAAGAAAACGTTAAGACTGCCGGCATCGGAGAATTGAACCCCAACCTGTGACTGTCAATGCCAGCGATGGGGAAAGTGTGAAGAATATATCGTTAAATCCGATTCTCGTTATGGCCTACACTGACGACAATGTTGAAGTAGACAAAGTGGATAGCCTAACCCCAAACACTGAGTTTATATATAATGCCTGACCCTAAAGCTAACCTTAAATCCTAAGTCTACTCCTAATCTCAACAGCTAATCTCATCCCTTAGCAAAGGTAGTTTAAGTAGTAGACCTTATATACAAGAAACCCTAACATTCTGTCATACAGCAACGGTGGTAATAGGGGTTTTGCGAGTGAGGGAAATAGAATAGGCAGTGAAGGAAATTTGTAGAAGTATAAAGTTGTCAAATTTATCTGGATTTGTTAACCGTGGTCGCTATATAGCAACGGAATAAAGTGCGTAAATTGAAAAAAGTAAAAAAAAGCCTATAATAAATAAGGAGCATTTGAATAAACAGCCAGGTCAGGAACCAGTGGGATCAAGTGGACCCGACGCGATATTTCTATCTTTACAAAGATCCGCCTCTATCGTGCATCTA